ATTATGGATATGTATTCCTTTTAAACATTTATATGAGTTTCTTTATATACAGTTTAAAACTGCAGTCGAGCAATAACCTTTTTTCATATTTTTAAACATTTTCATTATTTAAGATAAGACATCCTCGGTTCCTCGACCTCTTATCCTGGGCATGGGACGTCTTTACATGTATATGGCTCATATAAGCCTCTGGCTTGTACCCGTGGCCGCCACTGTTGTGTTAAGCATTTCCTTGGTGTGGGCGTGTTCCTGCTGGTGTACAAGCCTACGTGTGTGTTTACAATGTCGGGCCATGGCTCCCGAGCCCCGCCTTTCTATCACTGATCAGTTAATGCGATGCTTCTCATCGCATTTCTCTTTTAAGTTGTATTTGCCAAAACGATGACCTCGTTTTGGGTTTTCAAAGGACTTGAGACTCTTAGGATGTATAAGTTTTCCTCATCCTGCCTCATCTGTGTCTCCAGCTTCAACCTGTGTCCTCTGGTCCTGCCTCATCTGTGTCTCCAGCTTCAACCTGTGTCCTCTAGTCCTGCCTCATCTGTGTCTCCAGCTTCAACCTGTGTCCTCTGGTCCTGCCTCATCTGTGTCTCCAGCTTCCACCCGTGTCCTCTGGTCCTGCCTCATCTGTGTCTCCAGCTTCCACCCGTGTCCTCTGGTCCTGCCTCATCTGTGTCTCCAGCTTCCACCCGTGTCCTCTGGTCCTGCCTCATCTGTGTCTCCAGCTTCCACCCGTGTCCTCTGGTCCTGCCTCATCTGTGTCTCCAGCTTCCACCCGTGTCCTCTGGTCCTGCCTCATCTGTGTCACCAGCTTCCACCCGTGTCCTCTGGTCCTGCCTCTTCGTCCACACCGTCAATTCTCCTTAATATCTTGTGTGTGTGTGTTTACACCTATTGGTGCCTGAAGGATCGAGTTGTTAGCGTGTGTACTCACCTAGTTGTGCTTGCGGGAGTTGAGCTCTGGCTCTTTGGTCCCGCCTCTCAACTGTCAGTCACCTGGTGTACAGGTTCCTGAGCCTACTGGGCTCTAGCATATCTACACTTGAAACTGTGTATGGAGTCAGCCTCCACCACATCACTGCCTAATGCATTCCGTCGGTTAACTACTCTGACACAGTAATGTGTCAGAGTAGACACATAGTTATCTACTCTGTACTCACCTAGATATACTCACATACTTGTACTCACATAGTTGTACTCACCTACTTGTGCTTGCTGGGGTTAAGCTCTGGCTCTTTGGTCCCGCCTCTCAACCGTCAATCAACTTGTAACAAGCTAAGCTTGTTTTAGAAGTTTATAGATCCCTATAGGGTTATAGGGACCACCAGCTCTGCAGTGTGAGGATACTTTTTACCAGGTTAGGGGCGGGAAGGTCATCTCGCCAGAGATTAAGGGATTAGCGACGATACAAGACAAAATAGCTGTTTCCCTTGTATTAATTCAACAGTGATGAATGATTCAATAAATACAGTAGTTGTAGTAATAACCAATCTAGTTTAAGGACTTAGGTTAACATGAATGTAGAGTAAAGATCAAGGCTCGTTTGCTATCAAAGAGACAGTGACGTCATTTAGAGAGGGAACTAGCTCGTTAGGCTCGTCTCTGACCCCACCCTGGGGTCAAGGTCAGGCGTCTCTGACCCCACCCTGGGGTCAAAGTCAGGCGTCTCTGACCCCACCCTGGGGTCAAGATCTTACTTCCAGGAGGCCAAGATCTTACCTCCAGGAGGCCAAGATCTTACCTCAAGGAGGCCAAGATCTTACCTCCAGGAGGCCAAGATCTTACCTCCAGGAGGCCAAGATCTTACCCCTAGGAGGCCAAGATCTCACCTCCAGGAGGCCAAGATCTCACCTCTAGGAGGCCAAGATCTCACCTCCAGGAGGCCAAGATCTTACCCCTAGGAGGCCAAGATCTTACCTCCAGGAGGCCAAGATCTTACCCTAGGAGGCCAAGCTCTTACCTCCAGGAGGCCAAGATCTTACCTCCAGGAGGCCAAGATCTTACCCCTAGGAGGCCAAGATCTTACCCCTAGGAGGCCAAGATCTTACCTCCAGGAGGCCAAGATCTTACCCCTAGGAGGCCAAGCTCTTACCTCCAGGAGGCCAAGATCTGACCTCCAGGAGGCCAAGATCTTACCTCCAGGAGGCCAAGATCTTACCCCTAGGAGGCCAAGATCTTACCTCCAGGAGGCCAAGATCTTACCCCTAGGAGGCCAAGCTCTTACCTCCAGGAGGCCAAGATCTGACCTCCAGGAGGCCAGGCGAACATCAGGCTGGTCTTAGATAATCGTAAAGTGCTTAAGAGTTTAGTACAGTTGATTTGAATTCATCGCCTGTAATTTAGGAAATATTTCAGTAGGATGCATTTCAGTTCTGGGAGTGTTCAGAGTAGGGAATCCCGGGTTCAATTGCCCCATTATTATTAATCTTGTTTCAATAAACTTGTTGATTAATTGTTGGCTCTGAGTTTGGAGTTCACCTATAAGAATATATGATTGTCTTGGCCGCGGAATCCACGAGCCAGGGGCCAGATTCGCGAAGCAGTTACGCAAGTACTTACGAACGTGTACATCTTTCCTCAATCTTTGACGGCTTTGGTTACATTTATTAAACAGTTTACAAGCATGAAAACTTGCCAATCAACTGTTGTTATTGTTAAACACGGCCTCCTGGTGCTTCGGAGCTCATTAACTGTTTAATAATTGGAAACAAAGCCGTCAAAGATTGAGAAAAGATGTACAGTACAGAAACTAGATTTATTCCTCCAAGGAGTGCCGGACCAACCGGGCTGTGGTGGGTATGTGGGCCTGCGGGCCGCTCCAAGCAACAGCCTGGTGGACCAAACTCTCACAAGTCAAGCCTGGCCTCGGGCCGGGCTTGGGGAGTAGAAGAACTCCCAGAACCCCATCAACCAGGTAACAGGTTCGTAAGTGCTTGCGTAACTGCTTCGTGAATCTGGTCCCTGGTCTATTGAATGCGTCGTCGGTATATATTTCAAGCAAGCCTATTCTATTTAACAACGGATATATTCCATTGGTTTTCGATTTAATTTCACACTTCACATAAATTCATTCCTCCCTTTTCAATTAATTGGGGATTAACCCTCAAGGATTAAGTGGTTAATTGATTGATCCAAATCCACAATTAATTAATCGTCAAGATCGCCTGGGTTTGGTGGTGGCAGCTGTGAAGGTCTCCAGAGTGTGCTAGGCGCGCAGTACAGTGTTCGTGGTTGTAGTGTCTAAGACGAGCAACCCTCTAAGATCACGAGGAGTTGACTGAAGGGTATAGTGGAGGAACTCTGGCGTCTTTAAGTTTAGTTACCTAAGGGCAGGGTAGTGGACGGAGTAGAGACATTACCCCGACCCTGTTATAAACTGGTGTACAGGTTCCTGAGCCTACTGGGCTCTATGATATCTACATTTAAAACTGTGTATGGAGTCAGCCTCCACCACATCACTGCCTGATGCATTCCATCCGTTAACTACTCTGACACTGAAAAAGTTCCTTCTAACGTCTCTGTGGCTCATGTGGGTACTCAGTTTCCACCTGTGTCCCCTTGTTCGCGTCCCACCAGTGTTGAATAGTTTATCCTTGTTTACCCGGTCGATTCCTCTGAGGATTTTGTAGGTTGTGATCATGTCTCCCCTTACTCTTCTGTCTTCCAGTGTCGTAAGGTGCATTTCCCGCAGCCTTTCCTCGTAACTCATGCCTCTTAGTTCTGGGACTAGTCTAGTGGCATACCTTTGTACTTTTTCCAGCTTCGTCTTGTGCTTGACAAGGTACGGGCTCCATGCTGGGGCCGCATACTCCAGGATTGGTCTTACATATGTGGTGTACTAGATTCTGAATGATTCCTTACACAGGTTCCTGAACGCTGTTCTGATGTTAGCCAGCCTCGCATATGCCGCAGACGTTATTCTTTTTATGTGGGCTTCAGGAGACAGGTTTGGTGTGATATCAACTCCTAGATCTTTCTCTCTGTTCGTTTCATTAAGTACTTCACCTCCTATTCTGTATCCTGTGTCTGGCCTCCTATTTCCACTGCCTAGTTTCATTACTTTGCATTTACTCGGGTTGAACTTCAACAGCCATTTGTTGGACCATTCACTCAGTCTGTCTAGGTCATCTTGTAGCCTCCTACTATCGTCCTCAGTTTCAATCCTCATAATTTTTGCATCATCGGCAAACATTGAGAGAAACGATTCTATACTCTCTGGGAGATCATTTACATATATCAGAAACAGTATAGGTCCAAGGACTGACCCCTGCGGGACTCCACTTGTAACGTCTCGCCAATCTGAGACCTCACCCCTCACACTGACTCGTTGTCCCCTGTTGCTTAGGTACTCCTGTATCCAACGGAGTACCTTCCCTTTCACTCCAGCCTTGCATCTCCAGCTTTTTCACTAGCCTCTTGTGTGGCACTGTATCAAAGGCTTTCTTACAATCCAAAAATATGCAATCTGCCCACCCTTCTCTTTCTTGCCTTATTTTTGTTGCCTGGTCGTAGAATTCAAGTAACCCTGTGAGGCAGGACCTGCCATCCCTGAATCCATGTTGATGCTGTGTTATAAAGTTCTTTCGCTCCAGGTGCTCCACTAGCTTTCTTCGCACAATCTTCTCCATCAGCTTGCATGGTATGCAGGTTAGGGACACTCGCCTGTAATTCAGTGCCTCCTGTCTATCCCCCTTCTTGTATATTGGGACTACGTTTGCCGTGTTCTAAATTTTTGGCAGTTCACCTGTTGCCAGTGATTTGTTATACACTATGGAGAGTGTGTGTGTGTGTGTGTGCGTGTGTGTGTGTGTGTGCGTGCGTGCGTGTATGTGTGTGTGTGTGTGTGTGTGTGTGTGTGTGTGTGTGTGTGTGTGTGTGTGTGTGTGTGTGTGTGTGTGTGTGTGTGTGTGTGTGTGTGTGTGCGCGCGTACGTGTGCGTGCGTGCGTCACCACTGCTTTGTTCCGGGTGTTTTGTGTAGACGAGAAAAAAGACTTAAAAGAAAATGTGGGGCGAGGGAGTACTAAGTCTGGACCTCTGGTTACGACCTAAAGGCGAGAGGTGAGTCCCCGCTGTGATGCTGGGCCCCTAGCCTTGACCATCACTGTGAGGCCGGGGCCCCTAGCCTTGACCATCACTGTGAGGCCGGGGCCCCTAGCCTTGACCATCACTGTGATGCTGGGCCCCTAGCCTTGACCATCACTGTGAGGCCGGGGCCCCTAGCCTTGACCATCACTGTGAGGCCGGGGCCCCTAGCCTTGACCATCACTGTGATGCTGGGGCCCCTAGCCTTGACTACCACTGTGATGCTGGGGCCCCTAGCCTTGACCACCACTGTGATGCTGGGGCCCCTAGCCTTGACCATCACTGTGAGGCCGGGGCCCCTAGCCTTAACCATCACTGTGAGGCCGGGGCCCCTAGCCTTGACCATCACTGTGAGGCCGGGGCCCCTAGCCTTGATCATCACTGTAAAGAGCTGTTTTTTTTCTACCACAGACGTGGCCAGACATTTACAATGCTAACCAGCATATATACATTTTCTTCTGTCCTCCATGGACAGGGTTAGAGAAGTGTTAAACATAGAGTTCAAGGGTTTATTGAACACTCAACCACAGAAGGTGATTCGGTGCTTTTAAAATGCTAAGCTAACCTACATTCGTAAATACATAGATACACAGATTTACGTATGCCCTACATAAAGTATTAGATGTGTCTTTTACATAGTGTCATTAATGTACATTTACAATGGTGAAATGTAATTCTGATCAGCTTCCATATATACTTTATACACATACATATACGTACATATACATATATACATACATATATACACACACACACACATGCATTCACATATATTTGTCTCTTTTACTCTGATAGGGTGAGATAGCTGATAGAGAAACTAGTGTGCAATTAAACACTTAACCAGTGAAGGTGATGAAGGTGCTTTTACAAGCTCAGGTTATATAGTTACATCACATACATACATTGTATAATTGGTACATTACATGGTTAATCTTGGGTACAAGTCCAATATATCATCAAGTGTTCCAGTACTCATATAGTAACTACAGAGTTCAGCATACCTTAGCCCAGGAGGGCGAAAGTCAGTCAATATGGGACATTCTACAATATAATGTTCAAGAGAGTGCATGTTTTCTCTTTCACAAAGTTGACACATTGTGTACTCGACATTTGGGTTTTGAGAAAGCTGCCAGATACGTCTATATACCAGGCGTATTCTGGCCACTATAACATCACATTGCCGGGTTCTTGTTCTATTAGTCCCATATGTGAATGTCTCCTCACGATATCTATCATAATATTTAATGCTACAACTTTCAGGTCTTTGTGAATTTGTTAGGTCGGTGAGATCTTCATTAGATATTGTTTAAGTATTCTCTTTGTCACTGCTAATGAAACACCCATATCAATTTCTACCACTGGTTTTCTGCAGGCTGTCTTTGCAAGCATATCAACAGGGTCATGCCTTGAGATGCCAACATGTGATGGTATCCATAGGAATTTAATTTCAAATCTGTTTTCTTTAGCAGCTAAAACATTCATTCGAATATCACTGACTATTTTCTGGGTGTCACTACTATGTGCGTTCAATGCCAGGAGTGCACTCTGCGAGTTACAGTATATAAGTCCACAGCCTTTGTCTTTTAAAAATTCAGTGGCAAGGTATATGCCTACAAGTTCGGTTTGAGTTGTACTTGCCCAGTCATTGACGCGCTTCATTGCTGTATGTACGAGAGAAGATTGTTCAAATATGTTACATGCACATCCGGTACATCGTCCACCTTCTTCTACAGAGCCGTCGGTATAGCACTGATACACATCGTTACCCATACTCTGAGTACTTTCAGTGATGCTTTTCACTGTTAACTGTTTTAATAATGTAGTGTGCACACTATCTTTCTTGGGCGCATTTACAAAATCAACTGATAGATCCCAGTTATCCCATGGAGTAATTGGTTGATTAATCATTAATTGAGTTGGGTACATATTTAATATTTTGATGGAGTTGGCTACCTTGTAGAACCAATATACATAATCAGATTTCGTTCTTCTTCTATAGACCTCAGGTGAGTGCAGCATATTAGAAAGTTTAGCTTGAAACTTCATGTGTTGTCTAGATCTACTCAATGCCTTCACGCCGAAAACTGTGCTAATAGACGCTCTGAGTTCCCTCACAGTATTACACAATAACATGCACCGTTCTTTTCTTATTTTATCAAATATGGTTACAATTATATAATTAGTATTATTATCGTCAGAATCATCATTAGGCAATTATTAGTAATGGAACTGGTAGTTAAAGTGGTAGCTAGTATTAGAGGTAACGGCAGCAGCTGTAGCAACAATAGATGGCGCCACTCCACAACAAACAATAGATGGCGCCACTCCACAATAAACAATAGATGGCGCCACTCCACAACAAACAATAGATGGCGCCGCTCCACAACAAACACCAACACACATGCTCAGCACACCTAGAGGGCGCTGTGTGCCATTCCGACACAAGTGAGAGGGCGCCAAACGCCCGCCACTGTACAAGACGATGAACCTCCCCGAAGTCCTTATAAACCACGACTGTCAAACTGAACACCTGGTATGTTGCGAGGCCAGTGTTGATCACCTGATGCTTTCCACCCTCTCCGTGATGTTACCCATAGCTACACAAGTCTCGTGTGGAGTTACCGGATCAGTCTGACTGTGATGGCTGTCGTCCTAGCCTCACACACCAAGCCATCACCAGGGAAGGCGTGCCACAAGCCAGGCTGTGGCAGTACAAGGACGCTCGAAATCATCAACAGGTAAGAAGGTAATACGAGGGCTACCCAGGACTCCCACAGCACCAGGATGCATCACGTTACACAACCAGGAAGATGAGTGCACCTAACGAGTCCTCCTCCTGGTCATTGGCTCCTGTAACCTAACTATTGCAGTTATATAACTGGCAATGCAGGTCTATGCATGGCCAATGGCGCCAGCTCCTTTATTCCACCACAGGATAAAAACAAATGTTATTCCGTTAAATAGTTTCTAGTGAAGCAGCCCCGGAAACTGTTATTGCAACCCAGGCAACACACTTTTATTTTATGCCGGCCAGTTTTGCTTGCAAAAATTATCTGATGCTATCATTTCCGGAGAAAATATATTTTGTATATTTTCAGTTTCATAAAATACCATACATGAAGGACGGATTTTTTCAAAACTTTAATACTTTAATGACAGAGAGAGAGAGAGAGAGGGGGGGGAGGGGGAGAGAGAGACGGAGAGAGGGAGAGAGAGAGAGACAGACAGAGACATAACCACCGCGTGAAATTTTACCGAGGTAGTGGGTCGGGGAGCGTTGCCCGGCCCTCGTCACCCTGGCAGTTACCGTAATCAATGTCCCCTCCTTCCCTGCCCTCACCCTGCTCCCACGCCCCTCACCTTGCTCCCACGCCCCTCACCCTGCCCCCACGCCCTCTCACCTTGCTCCCACGCCCCTCACCCTGCTCCCACGCCCTCTCACCTTGCTCCCACGCCCCTCACCCTGCTCCCACGCCCCTCACCCTGCTCCCACGCCCTCTCACCCTGCTCCCACGCCCCTCAACCTGCTTCCACGCCTCTCACCCTGCTCCCACGCCCCTCACCATGCTCCCACGCCCCTCACCCTGCTCCCACGCCCCTCACCCTGCTCCCACACCCTCTCACCCTGCTCCCACGCCCCTCACCCTACTCCCACGCCCCTCACCCTGCTCCCACGCCCCTCACCCTGCTCCCAAGCCCTCTCACCCTGCTCCCACGCCCCTCACCCTGCTCCCACGCCCTCACCCTACTCCCACGCCCCTCACCCTAGATTTAACAATTCAGCTTGTTACCCTTCGTCCGTGTGAATACATTATTTTTGTCCTAGTTCCATAATCCAGTCGACATTATTTTCTAATAAAAATCTTTTTATTGTAACATAAATCCATCTTGCTGTTATTCACAGTGTTCTCTCTCCATAATAAAACATATAATGAATCCACAACAAAAATAGAAAATAAACATGAGAGAGAGAGAGAGAGAGAGAGAGAGAGAGAGAGAGAGAGAGAGAGAGAGAGAGAGAGAGAGAGAGAGAGAGAGAGAGAGAGAGAGAGAGAGAGAGAGAGAGAGAGAGAGAGAGAGAGAGAGAGAGAGAGAGAGAGAGAGAGAGAGAGAGAGAGACAGAGAGAGAGAGACAGAGACAGAGAGAGAGTGTGACTTGAGTAAAGAAGAGAGATAAATGGTGTATTAAGAGTAGTGAAGAGAGCGCTCCAGTAACCTCACAGAGATGATAAGATAAGATGCACCTGTCCTCAGCAACATTAACTTGATTATCTTCTCTAGTAATTGGCTAAATTTCACACCTGTCTCCAGTTCTCTGTGAGGCTCCCTCTTGATGACTGCGTCTTCTGTGAGGCTCCCTCTTCTGCGAGGCTCCCTCTTCTGTGAGGCTCCCTCGTCTGTGAGGCTCCCTCGTCTGTGAGGCTCCCTCGTCTGTGAGGCTCCCTCGTCTGAGAGGCTCCCTCGTCTGTGAGGCTCCCTCGTCTGTGAGGCTCCCTCGTCTGTGAGGCTCTCTCGTCTGTGATGCTCTCGTCTGTGATGCTCTCTCGTCTGTGAGGCTCCCTGTTCTGTGAGGCTCCCTCTTCTGTGAGGCTCCCTCTTCTGTGAGGCTCCCTCGTCTGTGAGGCTCTTTCGTCTGTGAGGCTCCCTCGTCTGTGAGGCTCCCTCTTCTGTGAGGCTCCCTCGTCTGTGAGGCTCCCTCTTCTGTGAGGCTCTCGTCTGTGAGGCTCCCTCGTCTGTGAGGCTCCCTCTTCTGTGAGGCTCCCCTCGTCTGTGAGGCTCCCTCTTCTGTGAGGCTCTCGTCTGTGAGGCTCCCTCGTCTGTGAGGCTCCCTCTTCTGTGAGGCTCCCTCGTCTGTGAGGCTCCCTCTTCTGTGAGGCTCTCGTCTGTGAGGCTCCCTCGTCTGAGAGGCTCCCTCGTCTGTGAGGCTCCCTCGTCTGTGAGGCTCCCTCGTCTGTGAGGCGCTCTCGTCTGTGAGG